AAATAAAATGAATAAAATGTCAGTCATAAATAATGAAATTAATGGTATATTAATAGTATTAGAAATATTTTGCAAGTTGAATGGAAATCCATGTCAGATCTGAATAGAAATTCTTTTTCTTAGTTGTTGGTAACATTGAGGAGAAAAGATGTACTCGATATTGGTGTAATAGGTTGATTGGAGAATTCACTCGAGTGAAAGGAAGCCAAATAAAAATCTTTTCTGTGTGCAATGTATGCGCTGAAAAAAGATGTAGAGATCAAGCTACATCTTCCAATGAAATAGTGTTCTCTAACAGCAATGTGGAAAATAATCATGAGAGTATGACTGATGATTCGGGAGAGAAATATAATGGACTATTGTATGAGATTGAAGATCTGGAGAAAGTAATGATCACACAGTTCCGTGATTGTGAAGTCGAAGATAAAGTTGTAAAGTTTTCCATGGAAGTTGCTTTAGACTCTGATCTTATCGAAAAGATGATCATGCATTCTACTAGTACTCAAACTACATTTGACGAGAAGGGAACCTATCAACATATTCTCAATGGTCTTCTTGATCCTCTCGAGAGACTTTCTGGATATCATTGGGTGATTGAATGTTTCTATTTACACACTAAAAATGGTCAGCAAAAGAGATGTGCGACATATTATCTTTGCTGCAGCCAACGAAGAGAACATCGATTCAAGTGACCAAGAGACTAGCCAGTTAAGCATATCAGCGAAGCTAAACCTGCGATTCAAAGATTCGATTGCGAGGGTTCAATTACGGCCAGGATTGATCTCAATGAAGGATGGGTTTTGTTGACTATTCAGCATTTTGAAAAACATATATATCCCACATATCACAGGTCCAACCTATCAGAAAACGCCAAAGCGTGGATCAAGGAAAATGTGATTTATGATTTGTGTAAAAGTGAAATCTATAAATGACTTCGCAGAGAAAAATTAATAGATAGAAAAATACATACCTACCAACAGGTATATTATTAGGTTGCGCAATTCTCAAAGTAACAATATGTAACCGATATAGCAAATCAACTAAAATTCATAAAGAACTTCATTGAGCAGGATACACTTCAACGCGAAGGGTTCAAAGTCATTTTCTATCTTGAAAATGACTTTATTCGTAGTCTGGGATTTATTATACCTTTTGTGAAAAAGATTGGAAAAGATAATATTACGGAGCTCATCGTGGACTCGACATTCAAAACAAACCAGCAAAAATTTGAATTGTTTGCTGTAAATAATAACTGTGGTGGGTATGGTGTACCTCTAGCATACCTTTTCCTAGACACTTATATCGCATCAGAAGACTGAGCATCTGATCTAGCAAATGCAATAAACACACGTACTGGTACCTTACGAGAATTCTTTGAAGTATTGCGAAATGAGGGTATTCAACCAAGTTTTATATTACTGGACAAAGATGCTGGAGAGATAGCAGTGACACAAGAAGCTTGGTCATGGATACCAAACATTCAGCTTTGTTTATGGCATATTAAGCGTGCTATAAAAAAAAAATTAAGTGAGCAAAAATTTTATAGAAGTCAATATACAGCTGAGAAATCTAGTGAAGCTCACTGATAATTTAGCTTTATCGATCCAACATGGCTTCCTAGAGATCAAGAAACCTGCAAATATGCCGAAGAGGAAATTAAGGAAATATTGCAAATGATAAAAAAGCATACTCTTTTGCATCCTTTGATATCTTTTGATACAGATCAATTCCTCATATCTTCAGAACTATATACACTTTGTACTCAAGAGGCTTATCAATACTGCCGGCAAAAAAATTATGCTGCAGTATGGAGATATCTTTAGTGCAATTGGTACAATCGTAAGGATTGGCAGTTGTTCACCTGTACCTCATATGCCAATGCAATGCCAATCGCTCAGACAACAATGATTACTGAGTCTCATTGGAGAGTACTCAAGTATAATTATAAGTACAATTATAATCACCCGCGTCTCGATCAACTAACTCAAATACTAACACAACAACTAGTCAAAGACATGGAGGATACAGTAGCACTTTACCTTAATGGATGTACATTTCCCGCCTGGTGGAATACTTTCAAACAAGAATGGTTAGAGCTTAGCCAAAGATCAATCAGTGAGGAAGAAAGATATAATACATATCTAGAAACTTGGATATGTTCATGTCCCGCGTTTCTAAATAATCGCTTTCCGATGTGCAAGCATCTTGTTGCGAAGAAAACCAGTTCGGCACCAGATTTCTTTCCTCGCTTTGCCTTCACAAAGCGCTGGCATAATTATCTATTTATCTTCTTTGATATGGATTGCCATCAACAAATCAGCATACATAATGATCCTTGGAATAGGTACACGCGAACTATCAGCACACCCACGGCATCTATAAGTAATTCTCATATCACCATTAATTGACGTCAAGGCTCTGAACAAAATAGAGATGCAATAAATAGAATTAGGCGGATATTTGAGTTAGGTGCATCTTTGTTGGAAGAAAATGCGGAAAATGATAGATTCGTACAAGAATTCAAAAGAATGACCGAGTCACTTGCACAAGAAATTGACGGATGTTATGAAGTTCTTAATGCAAGGACTCAGCAACATACCATGCAGCGCTCCAGAGGTCAACGATTGGCTTTTTGGTTGCGTTGAATGCTGATGTCTCACAGTTTATATGTTAGTGCGAAAAGTATTGTGTTTTTTCTTCCAAATGTTAGTAACAATTTAATTAAACTAATACATGTAATACCAAATATAAATATTACCCATTAAACTAAATCCAAAAAAGGAGATCTACATGGGCGGAACTCCGGAAAGACAGAATGTGATCGGAAGTTACATGATCTGTCATTTTTTTTCTGTTTCACTTTGTTACTAACGATAATGTGTGTGACATATGAACAATCCATATTTATTTCTTACATATGAATGTACATTTAAGTAGTAGGCTTTTCATTTATTGAAAAATAAAATCGAATTTTTTTATCAACATTAAATAGGAAAATGGATTTTAGCACAATCTATCAGTTTGTATTAACAACTGAAACGATGGGCAACAAATCCATATATAGTCCCTTATTGACGACTGCTTCGGAAACTTACTGGCAATTACGCTTTGATCCTGTAAGTTATATAGAAGACTAATTTTCGATAATACTCCTAGGCAAAAATTAATCAGACGTTTTCAATTAAAGATAAGCTCTGTTGAAGAAGAGTATTGCTCGTTATTTCTCGTCGCAATTCCAAATAATTGCGAAGCTCAAAATCGTAATCCAGTTTGGCCGAGCAGGAAGAATATACGAGCTAAAATATTTCTAAAGGATATGGATAATAACATCATCGTGAATTACTTAACGACCGCATTTGGATACGACAGTGATAGTTTGGGTATTTAACTTTTTTCTAACATTTGCTTTTTTAAAAAGATTAGCTGAAAGATTTACGTATCTTAGGCGTACGAAATTTTTATGCAAGAATCAGTCTTCCATTCAAATTTGTAATTGGAGTTGAATTCAATGTGGACATATCTGGCGAAAAGATCACATCTATTCCAATTGATTATTCACAAAATCTAAAGAAAGCTTGGATGAATGATCTAAACAATCCCAGCACATCCGACGTAAAATTCACGTTTGAAAACGAGAATATTTTTGCAAGCAGCAAAATATTAGCATCGCATTCCAAATATTTTGAGTCAATGTTCAGCGAAAATTGTTTTGAAACAGAAAATTCGGTATTAAAATTTAGAGAAGTTAACGTGTTAGAAGAATTTTTTCAAAATTTATTAAAAAAACCAGCAAAAGCTTCGAAAATGATGCAAGTTAATAAATGTTTAGAACCAAAACTAAATATCAAGGAAAAGCTCAACGAGAAAGATATGCAAGAAGAAAATAAATGTTTAGAACCAAAACTAAATATCAAGGAAAAGCTCGAGGAGAAATATATGCAAGAAGATAATAACTGTTTAGAGCCAAATTTAAAGTTGATAAAAACCAAGGAAAAGATCAACGTATTCGATTACGAAGTTGGAATTTATAAAACTGATTACGAAGTTGAAATTTATAAAACTGATCCAGCACTATTTTTGCAAATGCTCGTTTTTCTTTATACCGGCGAAATCATTTATAAAAATGATGATAAAACCACAACGTACGAAAATGCTCTTGATCTATACGGAATAGCAAATAAATACTCACTGAATGAACTTAAAATGAAAACTAAAGAATTTATCCTCGCTTCTTTGACCCTCGAAAATTCCGCTAAGATTCTTTTTAAATCCGCTTACAAGTGGCCTGAACTCAGAAAAGAAGTAAAGGAATTTGTTGTTGAGAACTTTTCTGAAGTATCTAAAACTGCTGGATATGAGCAAATAATCAAGAACCAAGAAGAATATGCGGCATTTTTCGAAATTAATACAGAAATTCTTTTAAGCATTTATAAAAAAGAATAAGATATTCGTATTTCTTCGTTATTTTGTTTAAGTAATTTACAAATTACGATGCCACATTGTTTATTAACTAATACCATAATACATGTAATTTGTTAATTCCATAATTTCGTGTAGAACCGAATTGACTGATCACATGTTTTATCTCTTGTTCTATCCGTAATTCTATCTGTCTCCTATCTATTGTTTTCTATCCATCATTTTATTCTATTTTATGTTTCATCCAACTTTCAATCTTTTCTATTTCTTCTGTGATAATACATGTATTCATGTAAATCGCCAAAATGCATATAGGCAAGCTCAAGAGTTCCAATTAAAGTTCAGGATATTTTGTGTGGAATCCTTCTCCAAGAAAAATAACCTGTAAATACATTCGATAATTGCTGCTGGTTAGGTCCTCTAGTCCAGAAAGTTTTTTGCTAGAAAAATCAATTGATTTGATTAGAATTGATAATCGTATGTAAACTTACAATTTCCCAATTTCTACTCCAAATTAACATGAAATTCCTTCACTCCCGCAAAATCTTTGGAAGGCGAATAAAAGATGAAAATTCTGATTTAGAAATATCAAAAGGCTACAGAAAACGCTTCTAAGGCTATGGAAGATCGATTTTAATGGATTGAAAATTAAGGATGATGTTAAAAGCAAAATTCCGGAAAGAAGAATATTCCAATTTGAGTTTGAAATCAATGAAGCTGATTACAGTACTAATTTTATAAATTAATTTTTCTTTACACTAACAACATTCAGGATAGGTATCTCATTTTGTGTGAATCTTGTTAAGCTTTTAATATCTCATTAATCTTCAGTCATGTCTCGTTCTCGGAAACACCAAAAGTGTGACTATAAAGAGGTTACGATTACATGTATATGGAGGTCAATTTTCCTACGCTTCATAAAAATTTGGTCGGAAATCTGTGACTGTGACTTATAAGACTGTATAGAGGTATGACTGTATTCACCTTTTCAAAGTAAGAATTCTGATATTATATTAATTTTACAATTACATGTGGTAAAATCTGGCTATTAATTCACCAAAAAAGTGTATATCTCTGTTCACATCGATACTCTCATAAACGAGCTTACAATTTTGGAGAATTTATTAGCGAAAATACACACTTGAATCCAGCTTGACCTGAATAATTTAAAAGTATGACATGCTATTTTAGATTCCCTAGTAGATTCCTACATCCAACATCCAACACCCCGATACCCACAATCTCTATATCCAAATCCTGATATGCTTAAAATCCCAACACTTAAAAAACTTTGGATCCAAATCCCGACCTGTCACGAATTTTGTATTTCAGGAAATTTATCATAAACTCACATCAGATCATGTCGACCTTATGCTCTTTTTTTTGATTTGGACGTTGTTCTTGATGAAGAAAGTAAATTTGTCATTTATTTTCTAAAATTCTTGAATAATGATATAAACGTCTGTATATGCTTGTCTGATCACAATGAAAATTATAAAGAAGATAAACAATAATTTATAATGAAAAAAAATACAAATATTTAAATATAGAAAAGTAAATGAGATAAATTAGATAAATTAATAATTAATACATGTAACTAGATCCATAAGCAAGATCAATACTGATTATATTTCTCAATAATTACATATATAAAATTTATTTTTAGTTAGAGAATAAAAATTAGCAAAAAATTTTTCTATTATATATTAATTTAAACTTTAATTAGTTTATCTTTTTAAATAGAAAATTATATTCGAATAGATTCCTTTTGAAAGATTTGCGTTGAATATCGATATCTTGCAAAAGGAGATTTTGGCTCAATTTATAAAGCAACCTGGTTGGATGGACCAGTATTGTATGATAATGATTATCCCATGAAGAAAATAAATTAAAACGATGGGGAGAGAGAAAAGTTGTGTTTAAATCATTACATAATTCAAAGAAAATTACTCAAGAGTTTATAAACGAGGTAAAAAATAAACATTTTCTGAAGTGAAAGTCAGCTTTTTATTTTCTGATTCGATTAAATTTTCAAATATATCAAATATAGATTCAAGCAGGACCTAAATTTTATGATTATGGCACCAGGATTATGGAATGACTAAAATCCACTTGCGAACGAATACTCAATATTAATGACTTATGATGCATCCTATAGTAATCTTCACAAATATCCAGTGAACTTAAAGATGAAATCAAAAATGTTCATCAATGTAATAAATTTACTAAATGTCAAGAGAATAGGATACTGTGATGAGTGTTTAATTCACAATGCTCATGATTGTAGTAAATGTACTAAATGTCAACGATGGTCTGAGCTGAGTCATTCGATGACTGTTTTTATAGCACAGACGAATTATGACAATGAATAGTCTAGCGGAGATAAAGATATCGATAATTTAAGTAAAAGAATCCAACAAGATTAGAATCGTTAACTTATTCGAATGGATTCCTTTTGAAAAACTTAATATCTTGCAAAGAAGGTTTTGGGTCAATTTACAAACATTCCGGTTAAATGGACATTTAGTTGTAAATGATTATAAATGGAATCATGAGGAAAATAAATTTAAACAAAATGAAAGAACAAAAGTTGTGTTGAAATCAATGCACAACTTAAAGCAAATTGCACCAGCGTATATAAATGAGGTAAAAAATGATCTTTTTAAAATAAAATTTGCTTGTTGTTTTCTATACACTCAAATTTCTCAAATAGATTTAAGACTGCTCTTTATATTTATTTTAAAAAAAGTAATATATTATATCAAGCAAATCAAACTTTTATATATTTATATTGTGTTTATAGATAAAATGAAAAGTATATCTATTGGTATTATGTGTGTAAATAAAAATAAAAAGTATGTATATCTATAAAAGTGAGGATAATGTATAAATAACAGGTTCATTTTGTTTAAAATTGAAAACGAAACTTAGAATTATCATTAACTTTGACAACTATACTACTAACGATGCCTTTGAGTCTGTCAGAGTTCTGCATCCATTCCATTCCCTTGGTAAAAACCATAACTTCGAACTTTGATAGAACGAGTTCCTTGAAATTAAATGGGGCACACGCTCCAGGAAGATGAAACCCAACTTTTCCTAAATGAACAAAAGAAGTGGAAGAGACCATCTTGCTTACATATAGAGGTTCTCCAGTGTTCTCATATCCACCTTTTACAGCCATTTTCGGAATCTGGTAGACTGAAGAACACTGATACCATTCATAAAATTGGGAAGGAAGAACCAACACTTCGTACTGCGTTTTTTCAAACTCCTTGCGACCGTAGGATATCCTTGCTCCCGCAAGATGTATTCCCGCCTTTCCTGGATGAAGTCCGCCTTCATGGAAAGCCCGTGCAACATACAGTGGTTCCCCTCCAATATCTATCCCAAAAGTTACTGCACCAATAGGTATTCTCCCGTGCTCAGCTTTAACCCATTTCTCCTGCTGTACGAATTCGAGTGCCTGCTTCAGAATGTTTAGCAATTCTTCTTTTGCATTGTAACTCCTAGACTCTTTAAGGATAGAAGTAACCAATTTCTCAAGATCCTTATCGTTAACCGATTCCAATAACTTCAGCAACGATATTGCTTTTTCGAAAATAGAGCAATTCAATTCAATAACAGATCGGATAGCTTTGAGTCCTTCTTCCGGCATAATGTAAAGATGTAACAATGGTTAAATTAGTAATGAGAAGTGAATGTTCATTTATTCCTAGGTCACCATTTTATTTAAGCGAATTTTCGTCTATAGCATTGAACAATCATCTTTATGCAGAGATATCAATTCCTTGTTTGATTTGTCGTTGTCTAAAGGGATAATTATTTAAACATTTTATTAGAAATGAAATGATACGATTGGGTTAACCACATTTGGGATAAATAACGAAATACAATTGGTGCCGGTACATGTGTATGTTCATGTTCATGTACATGTACATGTATATCGCTGCAGCTTTGAGAAGTCGTACAGGTATAATTGAACTTTATTCTACAGTTACGTGTACATGTAATTCTTAACAAAGTTTCAATTTCCTGTTGATAAATGAGACAATTACACATATTTTGTGTAGAGATAACAATCTTTCAATTTCTCGTTTATTAAGTTGAATACTTATCGATGTGTAAATAATCTTTTAGCCATTTTATTTTAGAAATGACACGATTAGGTTAACCATATTTGGGATCACTTCCTTCATCTATAAATATAAATAACGAAAATATAAATGGCATGCTTTGTAAGTCTGGTAATCTATTCTGTAAGCAATTAGTAACAATGTTGGACAATTTACATGTATCTTTGTGTAGATAACTTAACAATGTTTCAATTTCTCGTTTAATTAGTTGAACAATTATCTTTGTCTAAGGAAATAATTTTTAGCCATTTTATTTAGAAATGACACGGTAAATACTATGATCAAAACTTTGTTATAGCTTTTGTAGCATATTCTGTAAATAGTTCCCATCACTGTTCATTTCCTGATAGGGAATTGGTTGAACAAGTCCACTTTGTGTAGAGATTGAAATTTATAGACAATGTTGAGCACATACAAAAAAAGAATGGCTCTCATCCAAATAGACCAAGATTAAGCACACATTCGAACAGAAAAATGGATATGTGGCATCAACACAATTTCGCAGAACAGGTCACGGAAATAAGGCTAACCAAATTTCAGGACGGAAAGGAACTTGTGCTCGCCTATATATAGATGTTAAACCCACACATACACCTAGTAAATTCTGATATCATCACATCTTCATTAAGACAATCAATGATGCTGACAAGCAAACTTTGAGTGTGCTATGATGTTTTATTAGAATTTCAATTTGTCTTAACTACATAAAGTAATTGTGATCTATTAGAATTTGCGGTAGCGGAGGTTAAAAGACTTGACTTTAATCAAACGCAGAATTTGAGCGATTGTTGGATGTCGTTGGTTAAACGAAAAGTCAGCGCTGACGAAAACAAAGTTGTCTTTCAAATTTTATTAGAGCCTCCAAATTTTAAGCTTTCAGAACTTAATAACTATTTTTGTGACTTCAACCAATATTTTTGAGAGAATTTACATATTAACTTTAAATAAATTTATTATCTATTTAATGGTGTATTTATATTTTTTGGATTAATGAGCTATAGATAACTTTGTCATTTAAAACTTCAGAACTATCCGATGTGGTGTTGAAGTGATTTGACCTTGATCTTTGTGTTTTTATTACATTATAACTATGGATTTAGGATGACTTAATATTTAGCTGATTTCACTTATTGTTTTTTTGTCTTTCCACATACATGTACCAATAATGTTCAAAATCTGTAATATATTTTCCGAAATTTGAATTTAATAAAAAAGATCAAATAATTTGGGATAGCTGATTGTTAAAATAGGTATAAGCATAATATTTTTAATTACATTTCGCAAATAATGATCAGTTTTTTTAAAAAGTTTATAAATAAAAGTATAACGATAAAAAAATTTAATTTTCTAAAACTAGAAAAATTAGGTGCACTCAATAAAAAAAGTACATGTACATGTAATTGATTTTTCGTGACTTTGGATTAAACGTTATGAATTTAATATGAATCGACTTGTCTTTCTTCGGGCCAAAGATTTTGTCGAAAATGCCGAAAAAATCAGTGCTGTCTTGTTCACAATACTCATTGGTAGTGGACGTACTAAATGTCAAGAAAATAAAGGCTGCTATGATTGTTTTAAATATCACAAACGGATTTGTAATGGTGGATTGTGTAGCGGGAATAATGATATCGACAATCTAATAAAAGAATGCAACAAACTTAATCATAAAAATAAAAATATATTCGAATAGATTCCTTTCGAAAGATTTACCTGCGTTGAATAATTTGCAAAAGGAGATTTGGTCAATTTATAGTGCAACTGGTTGGATGGTCCAATAAATGAGCGTAGGTGGAATGATGAAGAAAATAAATTGGAATTAGCAGTGTGAGATCATACAGTAAAGAAAATAAATTTATGCGAAGAGGAATATGGAAAGTTGTGTTGAAATCATTACACAATTCAAAGCAAATTACTCCAGAATTTATTTATACTCGGGATAAAAAACAACCATTTTCGATAGTGATGTTGCATTTTGTTTCTAATACAATAAATTTTTCAAAAATAATTTAGGCTGTTCTTAAATTCATTGATGACATTAATTATTACGGAATAACGAAAAACCTCGTTATAAATGAGTATTCGATAGTGATGGAATCGCATGATTGTAGTAAATGTAGTAAATGACAAAAAAGTGGCTGCGATGATTATTTCAAATATCACGAACAAATTTATAATGATGAATTGTCCAGTGGAGATAAAGATATCGACAGTCTAATAAAAGGATGTAACAAAATTAAATATAAAAATCCAAAATTATTCGAATTGATTCCTTTTAAATATTTACCAACGTTGAATATCATGCAAAAGGAGTTTTTGTATCAATTTATAAGGAGAAAATACATGTAAATATAATCGAGAAGAGAGAAGAAGTATGTTGAAAACATTACACAATTTAAAGCAAGTTTTTATGCATGAGGTGCAGGTTGTTCTTAAATTCAATATTATGGAATAACTAAAAATCCCGTTACAAATAAAAAACAACAAATTCACCCAAATACAATTCAATTCTTAATTAATTTGAAAGATCAGTATATATTATAATTAGAACAATAGATTGATTACCTGCATTAGTCATAATTTATCAATATTGTTTAATATCTATCTTATTTTACATCATAATCAATATTAAATAAAAAGATAAGTCGCAAAACATACCACATTATAGTAAAAAATGTGATATAAATTAAAAATGTGCGGCATGCTTGCATGTACAAAAGTTTGAAATCGGCATTGATTTATATATAAAACATAGTAAAAATCGAAAATAATTTTTCTATATTAAAATGCTTAAACTTTTAACGAATATTCATTGTTTTTATATTAAAATAAAGATAAGAACCGTATATCTTGACATATACTTTTTTTTAAAATTTTCAAATTTTGATTTGAAAAATTTTTATTATAGTAATGTGAATGCAAAAAATTTTATAATTAAATTTATAAAAATCTTTTGCACTCATTAAACTATAAGAAAAACTTTTCAAATCAAAAATCTGAAAATTTTAAAAAAAAGTATATGTCAAGATATACGGTTCTTATCTTTATTTTAATACAAAAATAAAAAATATGAAAAAATTTAAGCATTTTTAATATAAAGAAATAGATTTGATTTTTACTACGTTTTATATATAAATCATTGCCAATCCCAAACTTTTGTTCATAAGCATTAAGTATGTATGTACATGATAATTAATTTTATTAATAACGATAACAACTACATGTACATGTATTCCAAATAATATCTAAAAAAATTCTTACATCCATTAATTATTTTTTAAAGATTAGATCAAAATTAGACCAATTTTGTTCTGGTTTATGTATTCTGAAAACACTCCGATTTTCATATTCAGTTCGTTCCGATTAGTAATCATTTTTTGAAATGAACTTCAGAATGCTATCCGAAAACATCAGAATATTATCAGGTTATATTTGTAGAGCAGTATCTGAAACACTCAAACTAAATTCAGTAAATTTTTATCAATATAGACAGAACATTATCAGGTACTTTTCAATTATACACGTAGAATACTATTTGAACATATTCAAATTAGATCCAGTAAATTTTATTAATATAAATGGATTATTATTAAGTATTTTTCAATTATACATGTAGAATACTATTCGAATTAAACTCTGAATATAAATGCATTCCTTCGTTCTTGTAATACTGATATTTTGGATGAAAATAATTGAGTATTATTGTCCACATTATCATTAATCTCAATTTCAGTAGGAGCTCTATTGGTACAGAAATTGGTGTAGGTAATATTGATACAGGTGATGTAATATGTTCACCAGATCTTGTATATCATTAACACTTATTTTAGTAAGAACTGTATTTGTTGATGATTCAGACACTTCAAACATTATTTTTTTATGTTTGGTGTACTATTCTTGCATTTGAGAGGTGGAGTAATACCTTGTATATAAGTTTTTTCTTGCGTTCAGTCTCAACTACAAAGTATTTTTACGATTAGATAAAACAATATATTAAACAAAATAAAAAAATGCTTATCTCAATTTCCAACAATATCTTCAGTCATTTTTTGCAAGATAAAATCACCAACTGAAATAAGAAAAGGTTGGAAAGTTACTTTTAAACTAAACAATAATTTTAGAAATTATTAACTCATTAAATTTAAAAATAGATATATGAATTTTTTAACTCACACTACCAATAACATTTCAAATTTTTCCTGATTTTTGTTCTGATGCATATTTTTCTTTTTTTACATGTTGATTTTACAAATTGTAAAATTTACTTGTCCGATAAGTCTAATATATATCATAGGATAAATGAAGAAAATCGTTTCTTTTTTTACCAGTTTTTCCATTCTTCTTTGATAATCGGATTTTGTATTAATTCCCATATATTAATACTAGATATGTATTTATAAATTGACATTCAAACAATTCATAGACCCAATAAACAGGAAATGTTATTGAGATGTCGTTCGTTCGAGAGGTTGTTCATTAATAATATCGTTCGTTCGAGATATCGTTTGTTCAGGATGTCGTTTGTTCGAGATGTCATTCGGTTGTGACGTCATTCACGTGATTTTAGAAATTTGAAAAGTCAATATACTAACAATGCCTGTGAGAGCATTTTGTGGTGTAAGAATAGTATAATTTTTAAAGAAGTTATTGAACAAGTAGTGCATTTAAGAGAGCTCGAATCTATTTTGAAAACTTTGATTGTATTAGAAACAAAAATAACTTTCATTTTAGAAAATTTTCATTTCTACCTCGTTTATAAACTGGAGTAATTTGCTTTGAATTGTGCAATGATTTCAAAACAACTTTACTTTCTTCCTGTCGTTTAAATATATCTTTTCATGATTTCAATATCTAAATGGTCCATCCAACTAGGTTTATAAATTGACCCAAAACCTTCCTTGGCAAGATATTCAACGTTGGTAAATCTTTCGATAGGATAATAGATCCCAGTTATGTAGTTTTGTTGCATTCTTTTAGATCTTTATATCTCCGATAGACAATTCATCGTTATAAATTCGTTTGTGATATTTGAAACAGTCATCTGTCCTTTTGACAACAATAACATTCATCACAATGATGAATATTTGATTCCATCTTTGATTTCACTAGATAAAATGCGTGGATTGGTTGATAGAAAATAAACAAATTATAATCGTTGTCGTTATATAATTACGTATATGCTATTCAACTTTTATACAATGCACATATACTGTCACAGGTGGGTTGAAGTTTCGTGGATTTGAGGAAATTTGTGAACAGTGACGGTGGGTGACTAATTTTATCAGTTGGTCTAAGTATCTACGGATATCGTTCAATATGGGCGTTTCCAAAGGTAATTATGAGGCAGGGTAAAGGAGATTTCGTGTATTAATTATTAACTAATCTATTCCTGCGCTTTTTCTAGCTAAAAGCCTTAAACTCGGATCAACCAAATCATTCATTCAATGATGCGTTTCGCCTTTTCTGGACTAAAGGACCTAACCCAATTCGTCTTTTCTGGCTGAAAGAACCTAACCAACACGTTAGAATTACGATTCTTATGGAGCGATTTTTACAAGTATTTCTCTTGGAGAAAAGGTAATGTACACAATTTTATTTCTGCTCTTTTTTTAAAAGGCCCGAGAGCCATTCGTTTATACATTTTTGTTAACTTTTGCTATATTAAAAGTGATACTATTCTAATTCTACATAATTCCTTTATTACATTAATAGGTCGAGCAGCAGTAAAGGATGGCTAAAGAAAGAGTGATGTGGTCTATTATACTGAAGAACGTGAACGATTGTGCTGAAAAATGCTGGAAGAATGGGGAAAATCGTCGCGATATATATATTATCGACAACGTGTGCTGGAAAATGCGGAAAAATAAGGGGGGGAAACCGTCATGATCTATAGTATCGACAACGTGTGCTAGAAAATACAAAAAAAATAGGGGACGCAACGCGATCTCGTGTGCTGAAGAATGCTACAAAAAAGAGGTACGGGCGCGGTTACGAACGTGATGCTGGAGGATGCTGAAAAATAGTGAGCCGGAAATTATGCAATGTTGTGAAATATTTGGCAGTCGGACGAATTCCCTTCATGAAATCCGGAATTACGGATTTTAATGGAATAATGGTAACAGTACAACGCGAAGGATGCGATAAACGTAACAAAAAAATGATTACATATAGATGTACATGTATAAATTGTGCATTGTACAATATGGTCCTTTTTCCAAAATTTCCCGATGTTATCTTGATTGTCTTTACCTTTGATTGCACACAATTCCGTGAAAGATTGGCATAGGAGACCTTTAGAGCTTAATGATACCCATTTTCGCGTAAATCATTCGGACCTTGTTGCATCTTCAATTCACAAACGGCATATATCGATTGATTGGTTAAAAATTAAAATTTTTAAGTCTTTTAGCTAGAAAAAGCATTGACCTTGTTTAAATTCCTTAAATTATAATGAAGAAGCTCGTGAAAATCATAATTCCCCATACTCTCACCATCATATTCATTTATAACTTTTATATTAAACGATATCCGCACCATCGAAACTATGCATTTAATTCCGAGTTTATAATCTCTCCTAGATCTTCTCGTGGCAGAATACCTGTGCACATAATACGCATAATGAATCGGAAAGCTCATTTTGTCCGTCATTAGTTAAGGTTGAATTGTTAAAAAAAATGTTAATCTTTTCGCTAGATTCAAATTAGTTTTCATTACCGCATAATAACTACACCGGGAAATGAACTTTCTACTCTACTGCAAATTATTATATTTAATCTTATACAAAAACCAGCTTTATTGAATTTTAACAGTATGATACTAACATTCAATAAATAAAATTGTATTTAACGGCCTTTTCTTTTCTCAATTTGTTATCTATTCTAAAAAAAATAATAATTTTGCTCAAATATAAAATATTGAGAAGTTTTAGAACAAATGAGAAATACAAAGTTTATTAATTTACTGTATGATGCCATATTAAAAAGAGAAAATTTTAACAAATCTATTCGCATGTGAGCAAAATAATATTTTCAATTTCTTAGAAAGAAAGACGAGTATAGTAATATGCTACGTAAAGGCATTGCTATTACGGAGTTTCACCTCCTCGTAGAAATTTTAGCAAAAATTTACGTACTATTAAGAGGCGGTAACGCGAAAGATCAAAATCCCGAACGACATCCCGAATGCACGACAAGAAATCCCGAAATCAGGATAATTTTGGGCTGTTCTTTCGGGATGCCGTTTGTCGGGCTTATGAATATTCGAGATTGTGTTTGCTGGGATTTCGTACCAGACTCATTAAGAGAATACTATGCGGCAAATGTGATAAATCAATGTTCATAATTGTCTTTATTTCTATTATTCACCTGATATAAAATTTTTCCAGATAAATCAAACATGTCATTTATTAGAAAATATGCTGTTAAAAAATTAAAATTGATTTGTTGCTATCGCATCAATCGCGATATTCAGGCCATTCACATGGGACAAAAGTAAACCTTTGAGTTTTCGGGACTAGTGTATCGAGATGTTTGCAGCCAAGTCCTCCGCGTAAAACACTTTTCTATTTTTAGAAAGTTAAGAATTACTATTTTAAACTCAAAAAAGATTAGAGAAAAAATTAAAAATCGAGCATTTACTTTTACAGTCAAAACATAATTTTGAAGAGCAGAATTTAATGTACAGCTATTATCGTCATATGTCCAATGTTGAAATTTTTCGTTTGGTCTCCTTGGCTGCATTTCCAAATGTGGGTCTGATTAAATATATATGATTATTTATAAAATAACAAGAAATAAATATATACTAAGAACCTAATTTTCATTTAATATGTTTACCGTTCATTGGATCTTTATAAAGAGGAATAAAAATAATATCACTGACTACTTTCAACCAAATATACTTAGAATAACATTTTCGAATACTTACAATCACTTAATGATAATACATAACCATTTAGTTTAGAAACAATATAATTGCCGTCAATTCTCCACAATTGATTGTTAGGAATCTATTTATATACAGTATTTAGTCTTAAATTTTGAATTTATGAATTTATGAATAAAAGTCAAATATACTTCATCTGGACTTTTAAGGAAAAATAAGTGAACAGTCGCTCCCGCCGCAGAATTTATGCCTGCCACATCGAGAACAAAGCCAGTGTCTGATACAATCCAAAACCATTTAGCCATATTAAAAGAGAAATAAAGCTACTACTAATAGACTTTTGGAGTTTAAATACATGTACGATACACATGTATAAATCAAAACTCATATCGATATATATACATGTACATGTACATGTATATGTATGTATGCTTGCTTGTACATGTATAACGATAAAATTTTTGATTCAATCAGTGATCGACAATAAATTTTTAAATTTTGAAACAACCATTCTTGATTCGTTTACATTGACATGTTCAGTCATCACAAAAGTATCGCCCGATTTGCAATTATAACAACATGGATAAATATATGCAATTTTTTCCACTTTTTGTTATTGTTGATCCTAATTATTTTCTTAAATATACACTAGTCAAAATTTTTTTAGATGTAACTATACCTATCATATAGTTGGCCATCTTTGACAAGGATAACCATAGTAATCTTTATTGAAATTATGAGTGTCAAGCAAGTTGAAAGAAAAATATGCTGTAACTAGTAAGAGTATAATGATCTCTTGCCAAGCACAAAGAAACAGGAAAAACAAAATTTATCACCGTCTGAGAGATTATAAGCTTGTAATAATCAAGAAAAAAATACATATTTCTGAAATATTTCATGAATATCAGTAATAAAAAATCTGTGTAAAGACTTATCTGGAGATTTTCTAAGACAATTTGATCTCTTTTATTATATAATTTGTTTATTGATTTAAGAAAACATGATATTTCAAAAAAATAACACTTGATTTACAATTGAAAAAGAAGTCATAAATAGAATCAAATAGAGAAAATTAATAGATATTTTATTATTTCAATTCTAACTTTATAAAAATGTTTGTAAATTATCAAAGAATAATATTTAAAAATGCAAAAGCTATCCAAGAATTTGAAAAGCTCAGGATTACTCTGAAGAAATTCAATATATTAACTTTTGAAAAGATTATAGACTAAATATCTTGAGAATTTAAAATATTATTAGAATTATATAAAAAGCTAGTAATAAAAAATATTTAAAATAGAAATAAAATATATTTGAAATTTCATTTTTAAAAAATTAAATATTACTTTTTTATATATAAATATATATAATAATAAAATTCTTAATTTATCTGAATTTTATTTGTAATAAATAATAATTTTTAGATTTGATTAATATAAACATTTAATTATAATTAATTTTTAAATTTAAATTTAAAATTAAAGTTAAATAATAATTATATATATATAATAGTAACTAAAAATAAACTTCTTAACTATTATAATATTATAATAAATAAGCTTTATCAGATTATAACTAATTATAACTAATTATAACTTTATAAATTTTGAGTTGTAATAATATAAATAATATATTACTGAATTATAATAACTATAATATATTTACTATTAGTAATAAATTAAAAATTAATTATCTTGAAGTTTGGTATATATAAATTTAAATTTTATAATGTTTTATATTATTTTATAATAAAATTTAAATAAGAATTAAAGTTTAAAATTAATTTTTTATATTAAATTAAAATTTTAATATAATAATTTTTAATTATTTCAAAAAGTTTAAAATAAAAAGCTTTTAAATAAAATTTATAAATAATTAAATATTTTTTTTTACTTATATAAAACTATTTTATTATTTTTAATTGATATTTTAAATAAATTTAAGTATTTATTTTTCATATTTTTATTTTTTATTCTTTTTATTTTTTTTATATCAGATTTATAATTTTGAAAAAAATAATTATATTTTTATTAATTACTAAATAAAAATTAATTAATATTAATGTAATAATTTTGATTGGATTATCTTCCTTTAGATCTCTTTTAGTTTAGATCTTTATTTTGCACTATCTGTATGTAAGATTATTTTGTTAATGTTTGTAAACAAGATAAAATGCGATATGAATAAGTTTTAATTTTATAACTTATGATT